ACACACACACACACACACACACACACACACACACACACACACAGAGGCCTGGTAGCCTGGTGGAAAGCGGCAGGACTCGTAATTCTGTGGCGCGGGTTCGATTCCTGCACCAGGCAGAAACAAATGGGCAGTTTTTTTCACCCTGAATGCCCCTGTTACCTAGCAGTAAATAGGTACCTGGGAGTTAGTCAGCTGTCACGGGCTGCTTCCTGGTGTGTGTGTGTGTGGTGTGGGGGAAAAAAAGTAGTTTGTAAAACAGTTGATTGACAGTTGAGAGGCAGGCTGAAAGAGTAAAGCTCAACCCCCGCAAACACAACTAGGTGAATACACACACACACAGACACACACACACACACACACACACACACACACACACACACACACACACACACACACACACACACACACACACACACGCGCGTGGCAGTAAAGCATGGATGCTCTAGCAGTGAGGGTATATATAATGGCACCTGGCCTTCCAGGAAGTATTGCAGGCATCATTATGCAATGACTGGAGGGACATGAGCCTTCCTGGAAGCGTCGCTATTGACTCTCTCAGTTTAAAACCGCCTCGAGAAAGGAGATGACATTCGCTGTAAAATAAAGTACACGTGCACTCTCGTGCTTACGTGTACGTACGCACGTTCGTGTGTGTGTGTGTGTGTGTGTGTGTGTGTGTGTGTGTGTGTGTGTGTGTGTGTGTGTGTGTGTGTGTGTGTGTGTGTTTTTCCAAACTGTGTTTGCTGGATCGAAACTCAGCTCTCGGGCCCTTTCCTTTTCATACGTCGGTCATCTGATACAATGGTGCTTAACAATAAGATTTGTTATCACTTCTACGTTTAAATCTACAGACGGTATTGACCACAACTGCCTTCTCCTCCTCTAAGTCATTTCACTTCCTCATTACTCTTTAGGTAAGGAAATGTTTCCTGGCATCCCTACGGTTCATCTGCGTCTCTAGATTGCAATTATGGTGCTTCGTTCTGCTGTAAAACTGGCGAAATTTAAAGTCGTTATTCATTTTATTACTGCTTAGGATCTTATACATCACAATCATGGCTTCTTTTCCCCGCCTCCTGAGTTATGTAGTTCGTTCATTTCTTCCTCGTTCTCCTATACTAGTGGACTAGTATATGTCCTATACTAGAATACAAGTCATATACTTGTGAACTTGTGTACTCTTTATTTGTGGATATGTGGGAGCCGTACTCTACAAAACTATTCACCTAATCCATTGCTCAGAATTCCTCCTTGTGTAGATTTCTGAGAGCAGCGCTGATGTTTGCCAGCTTTGCATATGCCGCTTGTGTGATTATGTTTATTGTTGCGTCAGGAGACAGGTTTAGTATTATGTTTACTCCTACGTCTGTTTTATTAGGTTGCAAGATCTGCTTTTCCCCTCAATAAATACTATTCTTACAGTTCCCCCCCCCCCCCGCACCCTTCTCCATTTTCATTATCTTACATTTACGTGGGTTAAAGTCAAGCAGCCATCTCCTGTACGCAGTTTGTCCATGTAGCTTTGCAACATTCTGCAGTTCTCAGGTGTCATAATTCTTTACTGGATAGAGTTTGGCATCGTCAGCGAGCATCAATAAATATAACTCCACTTACACACAGAAATCACAATAGCATGATGCATCAATGAACAAATCCACAAGGGCCGACCATGTCGTAGCTCAGTCGATTAAGGCAGTGTCTGGGATGCTCTCAGACGTAGGTTCGAATCCTCGTCACGGCCCTTGTGGATTTGTTCATAACTCCACTTCCTCTATCAGATCAGAAACATTTACAAGGATAATGGTGGAGCTCAATACTGGTAACTCTCTTCCATCTACATATCTCCCTTCTCATTGACTGTTTTCTTTCTGATAGGTACTCCTTCACTTATTCCAAATCTCTCCCTTCTAGTTGTGTATGCTCATCGAACTTGATTAAAAGCCTTGCAAGTTGCTCGATGTCTAACGCTTGCTGGTATTTCAGAAACAAGTAGAGTTACCCTTCTATTTATTGCTCTACTCATGTTATCGTAAAATTCTGTCATATACTATATGACAGTATATATGATATCCAATAATATGACAGCTATATCCAACTATATGACAGTATAAATGATATCCAATAAGTTTAACAGTGAAAAATTTCCTTTAACAGGACGCCATGTTGTCGTATGGTTACATAATGAATCAAAAGTGTTCCATTAGCCTTCTCGATATTGTCTCTTAACAACCTTGCAAGGTGTACTTGTCAGTGACTCTTGTTGTACTACTGGAGGAAAAAATTAGATTTGTGGATGAAGAAAACTTCTTGTGGTAATGTGTATGCTTGAGAGCTTGATAGGAAGACGTCGATAAAAAGACAAATTTAATCTTATCTAGCTATCACAGTTTTCTTCCTGGTATCTATGGGGTTTAATGATGTCTTCTTCAGGGCATTTAGGGGTTGCAATGGTGTTTCCTTCACAGTTTCTAAAGGTATCTTATTACTATAGCTTCGAATAAATAAATCCCAGTGTCCTATATGCCTTATTACGAACATTTATGCATTGTTTTTCTATTTATAGTAATACCATACATATATATTTCTCTCAATGAGCAGTTCGCGGGTCTTGCTCGATCAGGGGAGTGTGTGCTTGAGCTCACTCTCATGTTCCTGTAGGTGGTGGTCACCTTACACACCTCCATTAGACATTATTAAGTAATTACTGGAAATCTGTCCATATATTGATATCCAATACGAATTTTCCCGATGCTCTGGGAAGCGTCTCGTGCAAAACTATCATCACACCATTGTTTCTGAAACATTTGTTAACATTAAAATTATTATTAATAATACTTGTGAGGGGTTGTAGAAGATATTGTATGTCTTAGAACGAATATTTCCTCAAGTGTTTTGATTTTCTTGTTAAGAGGTTGTGCCCTCACACTCTCAGAGGCGGTATCTATCCCTGTCAGTTCGCTCGTATTATAATAATATTTACATATTATAATGAGAGAAGTATAATAATAATAGTTTATTATTTATAACTATTCTGGGGAAAATTAACCAATTTTGTTGATATTCACATTTCGTCCGTAGTACCATAAACACGCACAATCAACACAGCCACCACTACTCTCACAGCTCCGCCAACGAAGGAGGGCCAACACACACCTTAGTACAGATACAAAGTAAATGGGTGACTAATTTGGAAAACCAAAAATTCTACAGTTTTTCTTAAGAATCATTTAGTGAAAATGATAAAGTGGGTTAATCATCATAATACGTCACCAAAGCTTTGCAAACACTAACTGCGAATACAGATAACACATGTTGCATAGTAATCATTCGAAGGTAAATGCATAGTAATCATTCTGTGTGTGATCATTCGAAGGTCATTCGATACAAAAATCATGCAACAATTGACCTAGACGCCTCTCCATGGAAGGGAGAAGAGCTCGGGTGGTCCAAATAACCCTCCCACCCTGGCGTAGTCTACTTCCCCTGATGGAGGTACCTCAATTGTTCCCACAGGCATCATATCTGTCTCTTCTCTGAAGCAAATAGCCTCTGCAGGAGCCCCTACAGTTTACAGTTTACTGGCCATAACTCCCTGTTAGGTGTGGATTAGCCTCAAGAGCCAGACACTGCCTGAAAGCATCAATAACTTGACTGGAAAAGTAGATAATTAGTTGAATGATTATCTTAAATTAGGTTGTGACCAGGCCTATACGGTTGGCCGCGGCCAGCACCCCACACTGTAGGACACTGCGTGCCATACTTACAGCCAACCTTTCATGCCAACATTTCACAAGAAAATGTCAAACAAAAAAGGACTATTCAGTTCGCAGAATAATTTTTGACGTCGTCAACAAATCGGCGATGCAGTTCGCTTACCTTTACATGTAAAATTGCGAACCGTAAAGCGAAAGGTTCGTTTTGATAGAGCATATATGTTTCAATGGCTTCTCTCTTCTCATTGTTAGCACGAACGTGCGTGCGTGCGTGTGTGTGTGTTTAATCACCTAGTTGTACCCACTCTAATTGTGCTTGCGGGGATTGAGATTTGGCTCTTTGTTCCCGCCTCTCAAAGGTCAATCAACAGGTGTACAGGTTCCAAGAGCATATTGGGCTCTATTATCTCTACACTTGAAACTGTGTATGGAGTCTGCCTCCATCACGTCACTGTATGGAGGCGCGCGCACACGCACACGTGAGTGTGTGTGTGTGTGTGTGTGTGTGTGTGTGTGTGTGCTCACCTATTTATGCCTGAAGGATCGAGAATTAGCTCTTGGAACCCGCTTTTCCATCCGCCAGTTGTCTTATATGGCTCACTGCCCTATTTCTGACATATCTACTTTAAAAATAATGAATGGCGTTTGCTTCCATATGTCCTCTTGTATTAATGATATTATTTTTGAACATTTCCTCTTTTTCCACTCTGTCAATCCCCTAAGTATTTTATACGTCTCTATCATGACCCTCCCCCTTATCCCAACTCTTTTTCTAGTATTATATGATTTACTTCCCTCTCTCTCATCATAACTCATCTCACGCGATTCTTGGAGGAGCAAACTTCAGAACCTTTTCAAGTTTCCTTGAACTTGCTGTTTGAATCTGCAGAATCGAGCTTTTAGCTATTGAACCCCGCCTTTCTAACCCATCTATTTTCCTCTATTATATCTACTACATATGTATGTTTCTAGCACACACACACACACACACACACATCCCCAGGAAGCAGCCCGTAGCAGCTGTCTATCTCCCAGTTACCTATTTACTACTAGATGAACAGGCGCATCAGGGTGAAAGAAGCTCTAACCATTTGTTTCCGCCTTCGCCGGGAATCGAACCCGGGCCATTAGGACTACAACCCCCAGGCGCTATCCACTCAGCCATGAGGCTGGTGTGTTTCTTTACAAGAGGGGGTTCCACGATGGGGCGGCATACTGCAAAACTGTTCTCTCGTAGGCGATGTACCGCGATCTAAATGTCCTGTATTTAGATTTCTAAATGATGTTCTAACTTTTATTAGAGTAGAGTATATATGGTGCTGACGTTGTCTTATTTATATGGGACTCGTGAGTTAGGTGGTTGGTGCTACGTTCACTCACCAGGTGACTCTGAAGTCGTGACAGGGAGGCAGTTCTCCCTTTTTTTCTTGTGAGATGTTCTTTCTGTCTCCTGATGCCTGTTCTTACTTCTGTCACCTTACACTTAATGGTATTGAGCTCCAACAGAGTACCAGGAGCTAGAGTACCAGGAGCTAGAGTGCCAGCACCCAGAGTGCCAGCACCCAGAGTGCCAGCAGCCAGAGTGCCAGCACCCAGAGTGCCAGCACCCAGAGTGCCAGCACCCAGAGTGCCAGCACCCAGAGTGCCAGCACCCAGAGGGCCAGCACCCAGAGGGCCAGCACCCAGAGGGCCAGCACCCAGAGTGCCAGCACCCAGAGGGCCAGCACCCAGAGTGCCAGCACCCACAGGACCAGCACCCAGAGTGCCAGCACCCACAGGACCAGCACCTATAGTACCAGTACCCAGAGTACCAGCACCCAGAGTACCAGCACCCAGAGTGCCAGCAGCCACAGTACCAGCAGCCACAGTACCAGCACCCAGAGGGCCAGCACCCAGAGTACCAGCACCCAGAGTACCAGCACCCAGAGTACCAGCACCCAGAGTGCCAGCAGCCACAGTACCAGCAGAGAACAGCACAAATAGATTTCTAAGTAACAACATTAAGAGTAAAAATGGAAGAGAAAAGAGAAGATGGAGGAGGTGGAGATGGAGGTGGAGGAGAGAGGAAGCGGAAGAGTGCGCTGAAGGAAATGCCTTGACGTCTCCTCTCGTATTTACTTAAAGCAGTTTCCTCTAGCAAGTTTAGAATTAAAACTTTGCCAGTTGAGCGTGTGTGTGTGTGTTGGGCGGAGCTGCGGGGAGCGGTCTCCTACTTGGACTACGAATTTCTAGTTATCTGCCCAGTATTCTTGATGAGAATTTAGTTTTGTTGGAGCTAGACACTTTGAAGCATTGTCTCGTTACGAGAGACAAGCGAACCGTCTCGTTACGCGTGAATGGTGGACTGTCTCGTTCCATGTGAAAAGTGAATTGTCTCGTTACGTATTTTAAGAAAAGGCCTCGTTACGTATCATTAAATTGTTCGTTTACGCATGGTTTATATTTTGCTCGTTAACCAACGTTCACAATGGAAAGGTTCATTGTATTCGTAAGAGCGGTTTGTGCTAGTGTTAATCCTGGACTCAGATTCGTTAAGCTTTGTTCGTATTGACTTTTACAAAGTGTTACTATTTCGGCTGGACAGCCCCGAGTGGCACTATGGTGACTATGCCACAGTGACACTGTGTGTGTGTGTGTGTGTGTGTGTGTGTGTGTGTGTGTGTGTGTGTGTGTGTGTGTGTGTGTGTGTGTGTGTGTGTCATGTCGACGGACGCATCCTGCAAGCTGGAAACTGAATAGCATCATTATATACAAAATGTCACAGTCACACTACTATGGCTCCGTGGGCACTGTAGGTGCCTCGAACGCCTGTCCTCTGACATGCGAGGGGGACGCTCGCTAGGGTATTACCTGCTAGAGTATTACCGGAAGCCCTGCAGGGTTGCAGAAATCTTGCCCTGCTATACATTGCAACACCACTGAAGAAAATGCTATGAAACTTGATATGATGTTTGGGGGCCTCCAAGAGATAGCCGTAAGATATCCTTCTACACCAAAATTTTATTGAATTTTTGTTAATCAGATATTTTAAACACAGAAACATTAGTGTGTACACAGTAATCTGTAATTACTGTGATTAATTTCTTTAATTAATCAGGAATCTGTACACCAGTAGATCGACGATTGAGAGGCGGGACCAAAGAGCCGAGGCTCAACCCCCCCAAGCAAGCACACCTAAGTGAGTGCGTGTTTACTCACCAAGTGGTACTCACTCGACCGTGCGTGTGCGCGTGAATATGTAATAAAGAATCACCCATAAATTCAATACCTCTTAACCTCACTCATCAAAAACCCTTCTCCTCCTCGCCCCTGCCACCGAACTCTGAGAGACAGGTGGTAGTAATTAGACTTCTCCACACACACGCAGGCGACGCCGACGGCAGGACAAACACGAGGGAAAAGTCGCCTCCCTGAAGGCCAGGCAAAGTTGATTTAGGGCCCCTTCCCAGTAGAGGACTTGACCTGTCCTCCTTAAAGATAACGTCGCTTCTGGCCATTTGCCTGTATGGCCGAAAGTGGACGTAATTTGAAAATTAAAAAATTAAAATAAATTTGGGATTTCTTTTTTCAACAACAGTAAGTTAAGGGTCCTCTGGTAAGTTAGGTGGGCAGTTTCAGAACGTTATGAAAAACGTTAATTGAAAGTTTCCTCTTCTAACCTTACCGAGTAAGCCGGACGACTCAAACAGAAAACGGGACAATACGTCACTTTCGTGAGTCGATTTCATTTCAAATTACGTCCACTTTTGGCCATAGCGCGAATACGAGCGAAAAGCGACGTTATTTTTAAGAGGACGGGTTGTAGACCAAGAAAGGTGTCATTGCCTTTCAGGTGAAGTTCCCAGAACGTTATTCCAATACGATCAGGTCACCAAGACCCTCCAATGACCTCTTCAATGACCTTACATGACCCCAATACGACCAGGTCTTGGAGCTCTATGTCGAGACTAAGAGCTATCAAACTTTGCTAGTTATTAGGACCGTCTTAAGTTCACTGACCGTCATGAAGTATACTGAGGTATACTGAGGTATACTGTCTGTAAATACTGCAGCAGCCTATACCTGTTTGACCTTGTGTAAAAGCAAGTTTCCACAGATAATTCATCCCGACGTACACACACAGGCTACCTCAGAACCGAAACATTTTCTTAGTTCATTTCATTAAAAACAAAAATCTGTATATGTTGTTTAATATTTATTTAAAGACGTTATTTATTTTTGGCTAAATAAAACATGTAAACAAATACTGATAAAGGCAAGGATTGTGGAGATATATTATTTAACAAGATATCAATATTCAACAATCCTCATTCTGGGCCTTAGAATGATAATATATATTTAAAATATATATATATTAAATATATAAGATGTATTTTGGTTCGCTAAGCAGCCGGAGAATCTGAGGAGAAATTCTGGACTTTGGCAAGCAAGCAGTACATGGAAGGGGGTGGGGGGTGCATAGAGAGGGGTGGGTGGGTGCATGACTGAGTACATCAGGAATATTCATCTAGGGATCGATGAAATCGCTTACAGTGAATCCAAGCACCTGTTGAGCCACTGAACTTAGTCTAATATTTATTTTTACCAATAATGGCACAATCTCAAACATTTGTAGCTCCCAAAATCTGATGGTAAATGTTTATGACATTCATAGTTAGTAGCCAAGCTGCCCATGAAACTAGAACCATTTCTCTATTTTTTTAGACAATGAGAATGGCCTCATTTTTGTTGTCAATCTATATATGGCGTTAAATATATATTTTTCTTCGATTATCTGTGAATATCATTAAAGTTGTTGCAAAGGCAGTACAGTCTGCACGACATTCAACTCCTGCTGGAGTCATGCCACTGGTCCATTCGAAAGTTGTGTCGACAGAACTTAAAGCAGTAAGTTTTATCGATATAACTTTGACTCGTCACAGAATGTGATTAGTTTCGGAAGACTGAATGATTGATTTCCTGTGTGTTGAACTGAATGTCTGAGAGCAAAGATGGAACTCATCGTCCCCGACTCCACTTCCCTTCTCAAACCTGGTGAATAGAAACATTGTGACGACCAATCGTTGATCGAGAACAGAAGAATCAACCAATCAGCAAGGAGCTCGATGACGCAATACTAGCGTCAATACAGGCCGGACTATTTTCGCCAGCTCACTCGACGAGCAACCACGAGAGAGGAAACACCGACCTTACTCGACACTCATCAGAGTTTTCAAACTCCCTGTTCGTTCCCGTTGTGTCAGTCCCAAGACACAAACACAGTAATATACCGACGGTCTATGAGCTGCCTACAAGGTGTCAGAGCCCAAGGGGAAAGAGGGAAGGAAGGGAATTATCAGGGGGAAAGTGTCAAGCCATTGCGACTATATAGAAGGATCAGGATAAGGTTTGGGGATGGAACGGGCGGAAGGAATGTTGCCCAACAACTTAGACGGTCGGGGATTGAACGCCTACCTGCATAAAGTGAAACCGTCGCTCTTCCGTCCAGCCCAAGTGGACAGAGCTAATAATATTTCTCCCTCATTCGGGAATGGTTATTTTACTTCCTCAGCTGTGACGAAAGCTTTGTACAGTGACGGAATGAGACTAACTCGACGATACTACAAGTAGTTGGAGAAGAACAATCAGATGTAAGAATATACTCTGGAACCAACTACTTAGAACAAGAATACTTATATGTGATGCCTTTGTTCATCTAGCAGATAATATGCACCAGGTAGTTAGGCAATTATAGAGGAATGTCAGTGACCCTGACGAGGGGTTGGGGTGCCTTCTTGACCCGAACTATAGGAGTCTAAACATATAGGTCATATATGTTGTGCCTTGAATTGCTATATTTAAATCTATTACCAATACCTTTCCTTGCCAATTTAAATTACCTATTCGTGACAGTGCTATTTTTTCCTTAATATAACTGGTTAATCGTTTAATACAAAAATACATTTGTAATAATATTCTTAGCAAATATATAGATCAGGAGAAACTTTTTAAATGTAAATGATTTGTAATGTAGTGTTGAAGAGTTATATTTTGTAGTTACTGATTGATCCCTATATCTCTAAGCATATTTATGTATATTCTAAATGTTCTTGAATTTTGAGATTGTTAAGGCTCGTATCGAAATGATACATTAATGGGCGGTCAGAACGCGAAGATTACGCACCATTAATGTGTGTTTTTGTGTCCACCAATCCTATAATTTATGCCTTAATATGTGTATCATTATAGACTGAACGAGCGCCTTATATATGTCAATGTGACAGTCATGCTTTAATGTGTGTGTGTGTGTGTGTGTGTGTGTGTGTGTGTGTGTGTGTGTGTGTGTGTGTGTGTGTGTGTGTGTGTGTGTGTGTGTGTATTCACCTAGTTGTGCTTGCGGGGGCTGAGCTCTGCTCTTTCGGCCCGCCTCTCAACTGTCAATCAACTGTTTCTACTACTACTATTTTTTCCCACATCACACACACACACACACACACACACACACACACAGCTGACTAACCCTGACAGCTGACTAACTCCCAGGTACCTATTTACTGCAAGGTAACAGGGGCATAGGGTGAAAGAAACTCTGCCCATCGTTTCTCGCCGGCGCCCGGGATCGAACCCGGGACCACAGGATCACGTGTCCAGCGTGCTGTCCGCTCGGCCGGCCGGCTCCCTGTGTGTGTGTGTGTGTGTGTGTGTGTGTGTGTGTGTACTCACCTATATGTACTCACCTATATGTGCTTGCAGGTTCGAGCATTGACTCTTGGATCCCGCCTTTCTAGCTATCGGTTGTTTACAGCAATGACTCCTGTCCCATTTCCCTATCATACCTGGTTTTAAAAGTATGAATAGTATTTGCTTCCACAACCTGTTCCCCAAGTGCATTCCATTTTTCTACTACTCTCACGCTAAAAGAAAACTTCCTAACATCTCTGTGACTCATCTGAGTTTCCAGTTTCCACCCATGTCCCCTCGTTCTGTTATTATTACGTGTGAACATTTCATCTATTTCCACT